GTTGGGATGTTAAACTTGGCATAGTTAGATCTGGTATTTTCAGTCTTTCTGAAGTTGTTCTTTATACCTGCATGTGTCTCTTTGCCTCCCTCTCACTTCTTTACTTCACTGTGACCTCCTTTCCCTCTTTTTTCTATTCCTTCCCTTCCTCTCTCAACGATTATGTTTCTCTTTCTTGCACTCAGCTTATACAACCCACCCCTCCAATCTACTTTCTCCCCATGTCTCTCTTTCTGTTAGTGTGTGGTTTATATGCAGTTTTCTGTATTTAGCTCTCACTTGGAGTCACAATGTTCCATTTACTGCTCTGACAATGCACTGCTGGGGGATGGCCTCGATTATGCAAAATGTTTGTGTGTAAAGATGTGATGTTTTGAGCAAGACATAATACAGCTGTGTGGGAGGGATGTCATCTTCATCCTTTTCCTCTGTTCTTTTACATTTCTTTATATCATATATTTTTTTCTAAACTTGAAAAAGCTATTAAACTTTTCATATTTGCAGTATTTATTTACTTTTGTGGATTATCAAAATGTCTTTTGGACACCAAACAGTTGTGTTGAAAATTGGGCTCATATTATGGGAACAAACCATTTAGTGAAAAATAAATCTGTCACAGTTCTGATTGAAATTTATTCTTTATCACAATCAAATATTTTTTCTCTTCAAATCCTAGACTTTTTCTGGTGAACAGCTAAACACATATCTGAGCTGAAGCCTCCCACTGATCCCACAATTTCAGGCTCTATTTTCGATTTTCTCCCCTGTTTTTGTGGCCCCACTTTTGTGAGGTTTTTTTTTCTAACTCTTCCCTTCTTTTTGATGGCTTGTAAAAATACTGTATCGCCCAAACTATACAAAACCTCTGAGTATTAATGTAGCAATCTCCTACCATGGTTGCCAACACTTGAATCTTCTTTGTCTTCTTTTTGTTTGTTTTTTTATTGCAGAACTTCCTACAGCTGACTACTCATTTAAGTTCAGTTGGCTAAATAAACTTAAACCAAATCTTAATTTACCGTATCTGTGCATTTCTTGACCATTCATTTACATTTCATAGATTGGAAGCACCTTGCTAGAGAAAAGGGATGGTATGTATTTAATAAAAAGTTTTGTTCTGACAAAAAAAAAAAAAAAGTTATCCACAGTTGAGAAATATTAGCAAAATAATAAACGATGAACTGCATCACTATCTGCATTAATTGCAGACATCTATTTTGGAACACTCTGGAAAACTCCAGTGACAGAACCCTGATGGTTGTGCATGCATAAGCATTAAAAAGTCCACTAAACAGCACTAAGAATACTGATGTTTTCAGCTGCATAGATATTTATGGATTTTTCTATATTTACATTGCATTTTATTCTGCAGAGTAAATACAAGCTAAAACAAGCAGTGTTGTCAGAGCAAGAGATGTATTTCACATCATGAAAATGTTCAAAGTGTCTTAGATTTGCATTATAATTTCGCAGGATAACATATCCTGTACACATCTGGCGTAAAAATCTGTCAAATCAAAATGTGGAGCTACCCCATGAGAATATTTTTTGGTTGTTTTTTTTAAACAAAATGTATGCTAATAACTTTGCTGTTCTTTTGTCTTTAATGAGCTTTTAAGTTTTTAGTACTACTATAGCCACGTGCCAATAAATAAATACACAAACAACACGGTCAAATGATTTGTATTTACAAAGGTTGTGAATGGGTGTGATTTGAACTATTACATACTTGCAGACTGTCGAAAAGAGACAAGATGACCAAATATCATGTATAACAATTAATAATGTGATATGTTTATGATTTCAAAGGAAGCTTATTCCAGTATGTAATTATTAGGGCCAGCTTATATAACTGAGTAAAGGCATTAGAATTGCATATTTGTTTATTCATGGTAGTTTTTTTATGGTTAGGTTTGGGCATGCTGTGTCATGGAAAGTTATGGATATTTATTCAGTGATCGCTTCGATTCTATGAGAAGTTGTGGGGTATGTCATTGCACAATTCAAACTTTGGAATGACTGTCTACTAGAAAAAACTTTTGAAAAGGAAATTTGTCATCAGGTGCATTTTAGCCTTTGCATTTGGGGGAAATGTTTTCTCTTTAAATTAGATGCAACAAAATTTCTGTTATGTATCCAGGAAAAATCTGATGATTTGTACTGCCCAGCAGGTGCTAAACAGTGTAAGATAAGACGACATTTGTAGCTTTTTTTAAATTAACTTTGCAATATACTCCCTTATCACAGCATTTTCTCCTGCACCTTATTTTTCCTCCTAGGCTTATTTCTTTTTCTATTCCTTACTATGGTTCTGTATCAGTTCACAAAACAAGCAGTAGACCTAAGGTTCTTAAGGAGATTTTTTTTCTTTCGGGGGGGGGGGATACTTCTTATTCAACATGCTCTCCCTGAATGCAAACAAACTTCACAGTAAAAGTGCGGCAACTGTCAATATCAAAATAAGAGCATGCATGCTCTTTAGAAAATGTGAGGGCAACCTGCTGTTTGCTTTCATGTAAAGCAATATATTCATACAGCTCAAGCACACAAACTTGCAAATACACAAATATACCTCGGCCTTCACAGAAACACAAAACAACAATATCTATTCAAAATAAAGTAAAGGAGAAACATTTGGGGGTAAAAGTATGAAAGCTATGTAAAAAGGTGCACATGATGACTCAGAGACACCATAGCAGAAAATCACATACAGCCAAAGCACACAGTGTGTTGCTAAAAAGACACGCATAAGCAAACTGTTATCACTCAAGTGACTTAAATTGGCTTTATACCTACTAAGAAAATTTTACTAAGGGACTTCGTGAGACAAGGTTAATAACATGTACAGCGGTCCCTCGCTATAACGCGGTTCACCTTTTTTAAATTTTTTATTATAGCGCATTGTGTTCTGTGTCCCGAGTGGCTGTAGACCATTGTCAATCAATCTTGTGCCGAGTCTCCTGTACAGGATGCGACGAAATGTTGTTTGGTTTCATTCTATAATACTGGACTTATTTTTCTACAAAGGTTTGAACATTGAGAGTGTTTAAACAAGAGAGAAAATGTTTGTGCCTTTCTGAGAAAAGTGTATAAAGTGTGTAGTGAGGGGTTTTACGCGCCTAAAACATCTATAATAATCGTAAAAAATAAAGTTGGGTACTTTGCAGATTTCACCTATCGCGGGTTATTTTTGGAACGCAACTCCCGCGATAAATGAGGGACCACTGTACTTCAATTTCTATGTTCAGATTAGACAATACTGCGTCATTCATGGCAATACTAGATAGAGGACATTGAGATAAAGTCGCTGATGTGAGTATAAAGTATTCAGGGGAATACAGTAAGATGGCAGATTACACTTGATAAATATTAATGCTGGAATACATTAACAGCAATTTCTCTGACATCGCTGAAGATATATATTGTTGAATAGAAAGAAGCTACAGTGTTTAGAAACAATATCCATCAAGTAAATCATTTTACTTTGGGCATGCCATTAGGAATTATTACATCAAACTACTGAGTAGGTTAATTCAATCACTTCAGCTCATGTATGAACTCAAGTGAATGAGTAATGAGGACAAAAAAGCAGAAAAAATAGCAATGCACATTATTAGTTTTTGATTGAGATGCCAAATTATAGTTTACTTGCATTCCTGAACAGAAAATTGAATAATTGTTGAATATTATGCTGAATGTTATTGGATCAGTCAAAATGAATGTAATTTTGAATATTATCGTTGCTTCATTTCTGAGAAGTTCAAATTTTGGTATAAAAATGTGAGCTCAGTTTATTATTTCCCTAATTTATGACTAATGCAATTTTTAAACAAGCATTTGACAGATTTCCTCTTTGTGATAAGTGATCAAATACACTTTAAAATATATATTGTAGCGGGTCAGGGCTGTTTGGGGTTTGACAGCAATGTTCTGTTGTTCCAGGCGGCAGAGTTATGTTGCCATGATTACAGGTGACGCGCTCTCTCGGCGACTGTGCGTTTCTGGGTGGAGAGAGCGCGTTTTTGTTGTTGTTGTTGTGTTTCTGTGAATGCTAATAAACGGCTGTGCTCCCTGGCTAACTCGCGGGAAGCAAGACCAAAGGACACCTCTGTTTCCTCCTTGTCTGAGCTCGCCACAATATTTTTTTTCTTGATTCTTTCAAATTTCTTCGGATTATCATGCCATATTATGCAACAATGTGAATGTGAATCCAACTAAAAACATTTATGACACTTCTGCCTTTTTCACTTCTCTTCTTTGTTCTCTCCCCTAATTACTTTGTTCTCCCCTTCATTTGTGTTCATCCCCCTTTACTTATTCTACAACCCTACTTGTCACACTTCATGTGAAGAACCATTAGCTTTATCTGGATAATAGAACATCTCTGAGCAATGTTTGGATTATACACATTTATCTTCCAAGCATTTTAGTTGAACACTAATAAAACAATAATAAAAAAATGGGGTATCATTCATAAATGTATTGTCCTGTTTCTTTCTGTTCTACTTTACCGTACCATTAATCTCTTATTGTGCAACTGAATATCAGCCTCTTCGAATCACATTCGCTCAACATGAATACACCCATACAATATCTTTGTAGCAGTATGACAAAGCCCCCTGCTCGATTTCATATAAAAACATAAACAAGCACATGTGCACACACTGACACAAGTGTTGTTGTAAAGTAAGTTTTCATGTTGCCTTAGCTGCTGAGATCGATGATGACTCTGTGTATGATGAATGGAGACAGCTATATTATGTTACACACATAACAAATAGACCCTGACTGCAGGGAACACCATCTGATGTCTGCTAATTATAGAGGCTGGAATACAGAGGTGTACACAGAGGCACGCAATCAACTCATATATCTTTCTTCTATAATGGGGCAGAGCTTTTTTTTAGCAGTATAGAGCACAGACACACATAATGTTATATATACATATACATCCAAATGGTCACATGCAAATGGTCACACACAAATGGACGTGTTCTTACCCTACGAGACTGGATCTCTTTCACATATAAAGGCAATAAGAATTCTGACACTCCTTCAAGTCTCACTCCTTCTTTGGTCACCCGGAGATTCCCCATACCATCCTAGAAAAAGGTACGAGATAGAAAAATACAGTTTTTAAAAAGTTAATGACAAGCCAAAACAATACAAATGAAATTCTCATCCAGTGTTTTGCTTTGCTTGTCTATTATATATATTAAAAAGGGCACAACAATGTATTATTAAAGTGTACAATGATATTACACACAAGCAGACAAACACACACAGTAATCTGAGAAGTTACACAGTTTTTTTTCTTCATTTTATTGTGCATACTGTGTCAGCATGGGAAAAACACTCCCATGCAGGCACAGTTGGAGTGTTTTCCACAAAATTGTTTGAATGCCTATAGTTAATGTGGTTGCCCCTTATTCGTCTACTAATAAATATATTTCATAAAAACATACAAGGGAGCTAAGTTTACAAAATCCAAGCTCCTATGCAACACATGGAGGATAAATAAATAATTTTAAGCTTTTTTTCTTTTGCTTTATCAATTAGTGTGAATAGCAGTACTTGACACAATTATATATACCTGAAGATCTGTTGACAGCTTTTAAGGCTCTGTAGATACCAAATACTCGGTAATATTAGGCACTGACAAGCAGCGTTTATTCTCAAATCCTGGGTTCATCAATGGTCAATATATAAATATTATATTTAATTATCAATGGAGAATCATTATTTTTTATCATTTATTACGTTATCATTTAATTCAACACCAATTATGTTATGTAATTATGAAATAACTAATGACAAACAATGTGTAACTGGAAATAAAGTCATGCTGGATACACATATTCTATTGATTTGGCATTCAGCAACAAAGTCTCATGAGAGCTCTAGTTTTTCTATGCTAACGCAATAGTTGCTTTATCCTAGTCAAAGCAATGGAGTGGCAGATAACCATTTAGTTTACAACACGGAAACAAAACAGTAGAAACAAATTTTAGCTGGTCAGAAAGACATATCAAAGAAATCCATGAAGTTTGGCAAATGAAAAAGAGGATAACTGGAAGAAGGATGTGTTGTGGTAACCATCTTCTAAGAAAGGCTTTGTACTAAAATGAACTTTCTTTCACTTTGCATTGACTGAGAACTACTATTAACTTGTATTGCCATTACAATAACTGCCAAGAAAGATTTTGATAATTATAAATTAATGTTTTCTCTAAATTTCTAAAAGCTCTTATGATAACTAAGGGTTATATAAATATGCGCATCACTGCTCTGACTAAATCTGGTTTTATGGTCTCATGAATGTGTCTATATGCGTACATGATACGGGCCAGGCAGGGGGGTTTTCACCCCCCAGACACGCCCCAATGCAGTTCTCCAAGATCCTGTCTATGCGACGCTGGAAGCAGATGACAGAAGCGATTGTCGAATGTCAATTGGTTGACAAGTGGGCTGAAATAGAGAAAGGCGCAACAGCAGAGTTCGCCCGGAAGATTAAAAAATTCAAAGATCAAAAATTACAGCATCAAAAGCACAGACAGAGGCTGCAGTGGAAATTTTCATTGTTTTTAACACTCAGTTCTACTTCTGCACTTTGTATGTCATAACTTTGCTCTCCTTACAAGAGTGGCCCACAGACCTGCTGTACCACATACTTGGTACAATGCCTCCATCTGACAACAAAGCTCACTGCAGGCAGACGTGCTGTCCTACTTCTGCTCGACCATAAAAGCAGCTTCAGGCTTGTGCTTCTGCTCACATCAAAGCAATGTTTCTGATGAGCTTGCTGACTATGTTTGGCTTAATACTTAATCCACATGAATGAATACTCAGAATATCGTTATATCAGAGTTAAATGGTTAAATTCAGTTCCTTTAAAACAGACATGCCGGGTATGAAGAAAGTCAAGCCTCTAATAGAGTAAAAAGGCAGCTCCTGTAGTATGTCAGATCAATTATCTCACAACTTAGACATTCACATTACTCACGCTCTCATAACACATATATATAGGATCTTAGGGGTGGGCACACTACACAGACTCCAAATTACCATCAGGGTGTACACCTCACCCCTGACGTCGTTGCCCACCTCTCAATTTTAAATACACGTAGACATTGAGGGCCAGCAGGAGGGGCTATGCGCTTACCTGCTGCTCTCTCGCAGGTAGCTCCATGTCCTCCTGGGTTTTAAATGCACCTTAGAACACACATGCATCAACACTACATATGAGCGGGCGGAGGGAGGTTTGGAGTCTTCTCTCACCCCCGTTCTCTGCGGCCTGCTGGAGCGGGGGGGCTAAAAGGAGGAGTTGGCCGTCCGACTGCGGTCTGGAGTGTGGGGCCTCCCTGCTGCTGCGGAGTCGGGGCGGTCTGCATCTCCCCACCGCAGGGAAAAGGGTAACACCATCTGGGTCAGGCCTCTCGGCCTGGGGCTCGGGCACTCTGGCACAGCTGGCTGCCGGCGGAGCTCCCGGGCACGTCACTGCAACGCCCCCTGGCTTATGCTCCGCAGCTGCTGAGTGACCCCTCATCTGGGACTTTCGTCAGCTCTTTCTGGGATAGTGGCACGGCTGCCCCTCTGTTGGTCTTCCTTGGTCTCTTGTGTTCTGAGGGCCTCTGGATGTCTGGAGTTTTGATCTTCTCCATACCTGCTTCATGCCCTGGTGGACGGGGCTGTGGCTCCCCACACCCTCTAGCAGATCATTACATGAAGGAACCTTTTAAAAACAAGTGCGTTCATGCTCATACCTTAAAGCACACTGTGTGCTGTCGATCTTACGTGCTGCACAATAATGTTTAACATTTAGTATTTACTGTTATATTCCCATAGATTATCACGATGTTGTTTATTCTATTGCTTTCGTCTTCTTCTGCTTGTTTTCTTTTTTCTTTCTCAACAGGTGATCCAGGAAAGAGGAAAAAAAAAAACGGTCCGTGGCACACAAAAGACAGTGATCCAGCTGCTGTCTACTCAGCAGTGACAACTGACGAAGTCAGTTATGGACAAATAACCATCAGACCAAACAAGACCAGAGACTTTAAACCAGAGCCAGACGTCGTCTACTCTTCACTGAAGTAGTCCACTAGTCCAACCACTGATGTCCAGCTGCTGGTCTGTAACTGGTCCCCCCAGCACCTCAGACCAGAGGACATCCATATGTTCAAGATTTTTACATGTCTTATGTCTTTCTATCACCAAATTAAAAATCTGTCAGCAGATCGGTGGTTAGGAGACTGCGGAGTCCATAAATGTGTAACAGATGTGTTGAATATAGTGTTGTTAGAGTTTGGTGAGTCTTTTTGATTCCGTAAGAGTTGTTGAGCAGTTATTATTGTCAGTTATTCAGTTATTAAGCATAAAAACAACTCTGAAGGGTTTACTAATCAAAAGAAATGAGTTAAAATGCTTAAAAAAAGAAGTAAAAAAATACAAAAATTGGAAAAATGATCAAGAAATTTTAAACAAAGTAAATAGAGGCTGGGGAGATGGCAACGGTCTTACTGCCTCATTACTTCGCAGTGCAGTTGCTATTTGAAGTTTTATGAGTCAGACAGTCTGTGAAGTGACTTTTTTTCAGAGGTGGAACTAAAACATTCTGTATTGAACCTTTTCCAGCTTCAACTGAAATATGTGTTATTCAGTGACAACAGATTAGTCTTGCCTGCTTGGCTTCCAGTTTTCTTTTCATGCTCAAAATGTTTGACAAAGTGTTCATGGAAATAGTGATTCTGATCCCATTGATTATCATTAATTGTTAGCAACAGCAAAGCAGCAGAGCCTCTCCAATTGTAATAGTGCAAGTTGGTTGTAAGAGCAACTTGGAGAAATTTGTAGGACAAAACAATGAAAACAATGAGTAATGGGGCATACATGAACCCCCCCAAATAAATAAATTATTAAATAATTACCTACCTTACTGTTGGATAACAGTTGGATAACAGTAACCATTCATTAATGAAAAAAAGTAATATTTTTCAAGCCATGCCTTATACCTTCTTTGTTGTAGGTACAAGTATAAAAAGATAATTTTAGCTTGGTGCTATGTGGTTGCTAGAGAATATGAAGATGTCTAATATGTGATATCAATAAAAACCTTCAGCAGCTGAAGATGTATGTGTTTACCAATTCTCATCCTGAAGAGTTAGTGACCAAAGAAACCTTTTATCTGCCAACATTCTTTAATTACAATGGCTAATAAGAGAATGAAAATCTACATGTTTTGTATGTTTTTTTCAACTAAGTGTGCTTTGCTAAGAAATCTACAGGTGCTTGTCCCCCAAATACCTACTGGAGATACATTTTCTGTGTCATCATTACACAGTAAAGTACACTCCCTTGCCTCTATACTTACTTAGTACTGACTTATTTTGGAAATAAGTGTGAGCTTATGAAACGTCTGAGCTATTGTTGTAGATAGTTTTTTGAAATAGATAATTTTTTAACATTATTTTAACCCTGAACCACGATTGTTCTAAACCTAACCAAGCCATTTTCTTGCCTACATCAAACCAAAGTGTACCTGAAAACCAGATGCAAAAGAACAAGAAAATAATTCTGTTAGAAAGCCCTTAAGGCAATCTTCTCCCATTTGCACTCTTGGCCTGAGAAGGACCTGAGGGAGGTTTTCAGAATCAATAAACCCTTAAACACAAAACACTTCAGGGTTAACTACTTTTTCACTAATGCTATTTACTTTAAATAAAGAGAATGGTGAAAGGCAAATATATAAAAAAGGCTGCCATATATGAAAACTTTAAAAGATATATCAAATGTCAAAGACACACTTCCTTAAAACCGCAAAGTCTGTGAAATACAATAATGAAGGGTCTTCTTGTGAAAGAGTAACAACCATAAATAAGAAGTTGCCAGGTAGTAATGGTGTTGCTTGCACACAGGTATGACAAAAGAAAAAGCATGATATTCAAAACATGAACTACTGTTTCTTACTCAAGTCATGAAAACATGATGCAGCATTTCAAATACCAGAATGTTTTTAAGACCAGTTAACCTATATTTCTAAAGTAGGGATGTCAAAGTGATTTTACATCGAGGGCCAAAGTGGGCTGGACAAGTAAAACTTCAATTT